GAAGAGAGATAGAAGACAACAGTAATTTCTGTCTAGGTAGCAGTGCAACTATTCTTCTTTAAGAGATCCTTGGGGACTTAATATTTGAGACCAACTTTTTGATTCTAAAGTAAATGCAAAGGGTCTTTGGGCCCCACTCCAGCAGTTTAGCCTCCTTGGGGGACCAGAAAACTCTTCTTATTTGAGCCTCTGCAGAAGGTAATCCTAACCTCGACCAGAAGTGTGAAAGGGTTATGTGTGAAGATGCCCTGTTGAAATTTACAATTAACAGAGCAGAAAACATCTTAGGGTGGGCAAGCTGTTGGCTTCCCTGCTTCCCACCCTGCCTTGGGGTGTCAAAATCTGCAGCTCGCTTCTGTCCTGTTTTGGCTGTGGACAAAATGAGGATTTTCTGGTCCAGTGGCCTTTTTCAGCAGGTGGCCTTTTGCATAATAAGACCCAGCTGCTGAGAAATGCTCTTTTGCCTGAGATGGAGAAAGTTCCTGACCGGGATTGGCAGGAATGTGCACTGGAAGGGTGGGATCAGGGTGAGCCACAGGGTCCCCGTTGCCAAATCTCACTGCAAAATACCGTGGCAAAATATCAGACGCATGATGTGGGCCCAAAGGCGGTGGGCATCAAGACCAAATATGCCGTAATGGATGAGCTTAGTCTTGGCTTGTGTGGGGTGTGAAATAGTAAGCCGGGATGGCCCTGCCCTTTGGCCCATGGGACAGGGGCTTCAGGTGGCCGCGAATCCCGAGAGATGGCATCAGGGCCAGTCCGGCACTTCTAAACAACCCGGTTGCCTTCATTCATGGCAGAACGTGCCATCGGCAGCATGAAGAAGCAGTGAGTCTTGCCCATTCGAAGGACAGGAGATGCCATTGCACAATCTTTGCGGAAAGGTTTTGCAAAAGAGGGTGGCATTTGTGTGGGTGTGTGCAAGTGCGGGCATGCCGGTGCCTCGCCATGACCCGCACCCTCTGCCTCCTCAGGCCAGTGGAGTCCATTCGGATGAGCAGTTGGCTTCCAGGGTCACCCGTTTGAAACGGGCGCGTGATGCAAGCGAACTCTGTGCCCTCCAGAGGCATTTCCGTTTGCCAGCCCAGATCATTCGCCTTCCCCAAGCCCAGACGGAGGCCCCCGCTCTCCAAGGGCAGGAACGAGAGTCTGCTGAAACAGCACCTCCTCACCCAGCCCAACGTTCTCATTACCGCTGGAGGGATTCCCCACCCTGCTTGCCTCCATGAGGCCTCTCGGCTGAAGGAAGCCCTGAGTCAGCTCTTTCGCACGGAGGCAGAGCGGCTGGAAAATCACAAAGCCAGCAGCTGCCGGGGCTGGCCTTGGTCTGCTGAGCACAGGGCAAAACGTGCTCACCCAGAGGAGAGCTGGAGGCACAGCCGCCAGCAGCCAAGAGCCATGGAAACACGCTCACGTCAAGTATCTCAGGAAAGAGGACAGGAAGCAGGAGGGAGGCAAAACTAGTGCTCCACCCAAAGCAAAAAAGAAGGGGAAAATTAGCAAAGGGTCCAACGGAGGCAGGGGTGGTCAAAAAAGTCAAGATGGTGGCTGAGGACACCCTTGCACTGAGGGAGGGAATCTAACTTGTAAGCATGTGACAGGAAAAAAGGGTTAATTTGCTTTTGGATTGATGGAAGACTGGGAGAAGCAGGAAGACATCCGAGGAGGTGATACGCTAGAGCGGTGTTTCTTAAAGGGTGGTCCAAAGTCCCCGAAGACCCTCCGAGGGGTCTGCGAAATCAGTTATTTGCCAGGCATTGGAGATACTTGCAAACATTTAAAACAACGTCACTCTTGCCGTTATTATTTTTTATGGGATTAAAAAAATAGGGTTTTTTCATGAAAACTACTTTATTTCGGTGAAAGTCTAATGGGTTTAACATTGCTCTTTTTACATGACTCAATAAATAATTATTCTTCGAATGTGTCCGTTTAAAATTTTAATGCGGTTAATATCGATAAATATAACCTATACAAACCAAAGCTCTTCTGGGGTCCTCCATCATTTTTAAAAGTGGGCAGAGGTCCTGAGAGCAAAACGTTTAAGAAACACTGGGCCAGAGTTCCTACCTACAACAGAACATGATTTTCTTGGGACAATAAAATTCACTGTGTGGAAAGAAGCACCCCTTGATCTTAGACTCATTCCCACTGCTATCTCCCAGTCATGGTTTTGTAGCCAGGGGTATCCAAAGCTGGAACCTCATGTTTGAAACCCTGCTTCTTTTGAATGTGCAATGCCCCTGAAAAGGGGCGGGGCTTCAATCATGCAGTGGCACCCTCCATCTTGACTTTTATGACCCCCTGCTAATGTTCCTGGTTGCAACAACTGGAATTTAAATATCCCAAAACGAAGGACTTTCACATGGCACATGCTTCTTCTATCACTACTTTGAACTACCTAGGAATCAATGTGCAAATCTGAAGGTCTCCTTTCACTCCTTCTAAGAATTCCAGCTAAGGCAGGGTCTTTAAAAACCAGAGGAATGGGGTGGGTGTCAGAGACCATATTGCTCAGCCTGGGGACCAGAAACTTCAAATTGCAGTGCTCTGTTTTGTGTTGAAGCAAAGCCCCCCGTTCACACATGGTGCCCCATGGGAAATGCATGCGTGTGAATGTCAATTCACTCATGGGTGAACCCTGAAGCCACATGCATGTAAAGACATGTGCTTAGCCATCCAAAACCCCTTAGGAGCCCAAGAAGAGTCAAGCTCTTATGGAGTCCAGATTGCTGGACCAAACCAAGTGCTCCCAGCCATGGTCTTCTGTTTTCCAGTTGTCGTGTTTCAGATGTGTAGTCGGGATTCCAGAAGGTAGCACACTGCCATCAAGAACAGCAAGCCCTGATGAGCCCCATCTGCCCAGTCCCCCTTAAAACTCCAAACTGGCAACTCTCACCACTTCTAATGCTGTAAATCAGGGTTTCTCAACCTTGGCAACTTTAAGACTGGGTGGACTTCAACTCCCAGAATTCCCCAGCCAGCCAGGTGAATACAGAGGTCATCTAGTCCAGGGTTCCTCAACCTCCAACTAAGATGGGTGGAGGTTGAGGGAGTGGGTGGAGGTTGGAGGGAGCATGGCTGGCTGGGGAATTCTGGGAGTTGAGGTCCACCCATCTTAAAGTTGCCAAGGTTGAGGAGCCCTGATCTAGTCCATCCCTCTTCTCCTTGGTGCAATAGAGCATACAGTATCCCAAAGCAAGCCATCTTGGGTGGACCCATTGGCCTTTCAGCCTGCCAAATCTCTTGGCCTCAGCCACAGAATTAATTCTCAAGCCATGGATAAGTTGAGGATTGAGAGCAGGAGGGAGGAAGCCTGTATTTATATCTTTGTCCACGTTTCCTGGATCTGCATCATTCCTCCCGCGTCTTCCCACCCCAAGCCCTAAATGTTCAATTAGGACCATCTGAATCCCAGAGCCACGTTGCCACAGACAGCTACCCACAAAAGCCCCACTGCTGACTCCCCACTTCTTTTCTCCTGCTTCTCCTCTTGGTTCAGCTAGAACTAACTGAATCAGCCACCTGGCCTCTCGGTCGGCATCGTAAGAGACTTGATCCTGATGGGAGAATCTGTCCTGAGAGTCCTTCAGCCCCGCTCCAGCAGAATCTTTGGAACAAATTAGAAAACGGCTTTGCATCATAACCGGCTGCTCTGCAAAAGCCTGATGCTTCCTTTCCCCAGCTTGGGGGCCTTTCAAAGGGGTTTGACTTCAGATTCCTGTAATCCCTAGCCAGAACGATGTTTTTTAAGGGCAGTTACACTACAATCTTTCTGCCTCACATTTTTGCAACTTGGGTGACAAGCTGCCACGGAGGGTGTTACTACTGCTGGGTGTTTAACAGAAGATGGTCCAAGCAAGCTGATCCAGGCCAGTTCTGGCCAATTTCTTGGCTCCCAAGGGTGCCAGACTCCCTGCTCTTCTGCTGTCAGCTGCTACTGGATGTTCTGAGAGTTTTTTTCAGAACTTGGAGATTACAAGATCATTCACTTATACCTGTTCCCTTAACCCACTCCTTTTCTCATCTTCTAGCAGCAGACAAATTCTTTAACAACAACATTAAAAAAAAAAAAACCCTAGAGCAGATTGTTCCTTGGCTTTTAAAATTATAGTGCTGACGCTCTCCCCCCCCCTTCACTATTTATTTCTATTGCTCTTTAAATATTGTATTCATACTGGGTTGTTTTAAAAGCAGATTTTTAAAATAATTACCTTCCTCCTTCCCTTGCTAATTTATTATCTGAGTGGGCAAATGACTCATTTGTTTACTGGGTAGCAAAATAAACAAATTGTGGTTGAGTTTGTTGAAAAACCCTTTGTCTACAAAGAACTTTGTGAGGACAGGATTCGAACTTGGAACTTTGTCTCCTCTCCCTCCCAGTCCCAAGGAGATAATACACACGTGCACGCCCTTCCCTTACTCTTGCTTTGCGGAGTTCAGACATGGGGTTTTGCACCTTTGTTTTCTTCGTGATCAAAAATAGAAGTAGATTTTTCATGCAGGGGGTTGGTGAATGGAACCAGGCTTGTGGGTGGGTTGGCAGCAGGAAGATCCATCTACTGTGCTGTGTGGTCCAACCCGAGGAAGCAGCCAAAGGGGTGGGTGGGAGTGATGTTTCGAAATGGCACAGGGATCCAAGCTGGACAGAAGCTTGCTCCAAGCTGAAGCCTTCAGCAAGCCTAAGCTTTAAAACTTTGCTTTGTGAACCTCTTCTCCATTTAGGATCCAAATGGCCTGGAAATGAATGGTTCTGCTTGCAACTGAGACTTAAATGTTTGCCTCTGCATTGCAAAATTGTATGGAGGACAGCTCCCTAGAACGCTAACATCTGTTTCTTCTTCTTTTCTTCCCTTCCAGATCCTGTTGGCCTCAACTAACCAAGGAGGATGTTGCTACCGTGGTGGCGGTGGGGGATCTCCTCTTGCTTTCTTGCCAAAATCTTGGTAGCCTTGGTGTTTTTTGCTGGGAATGTCTCCTGGGTTGGTGCCTCTGAACTTGACCTGGAAGCCAACGGCACCTGTGAAGGATCCAATACGTGTCAGCCAGGAGTGATCCTCCCCGTCTGGCAGCCAGACAACCCATCTTTTGGGGACAAGGCTGCCAGAGCCATTGTCTATTTTGTTGCCATGATGTATATGTTCTTGGGGGTCTCCATTATTGCTGACCGCTTCATGGCCTCCATTGAAGTGATCACTTCCAAAGAGAAGGAGATCACCATTACCAAATCCAACGGGGAGACCAGTATTGGTACAGTGAGGATCTGGAATGAGACAGTCTCCAACCTCACCCTCATGGCATTGGGTTCATCAGCTCCTGAAATACTTCTTTCAGTCATTGAGGTCTGTGGTCATAACTTCCAGGCAGGAGAATTGGGCCCTGGCACTATTGTGGGCAGTGCGGCCTTCAACATGTTTGTGGTCATAGCAGTGTGTGTCTACGTCATCCCAAATGGAGAGAGCCGCAAAATCAAGCATCTGAGGGTCTTCTTTGTCACTGCTTCCTGGAGCATCTTTGCCTACATCTGGTTGTACCTCATCCTGGCTGTCTTCTCACCAGGGATTGTGCAAGTGTGGGAGGCCTTGCTGACCCTTATCTTCTTCCCTGTCTGTGTAGTCTTCGCCTGGATAGCTGACAAAAGGCTGCTGTTCTACAAATACGTCTATAAGAGATATAGGGCAGACCCACGCAGTGGTATCATAATCGGAACTGAGGGGGAGTTCCCCAAAGGCATCGAGATGGATGGAGGGTTTGTGGCTAATGACCACCGGGAGAGTGTCTTTGTGGATGGCAGCGCGGCTTCAGTGGCTCCCCTTCCAGTCATTACCCAGGAGGAGAAAGAACTGGACGAGAGTCGCAAGGAGGTCATCCAGATCCTCAAAGACCTGAAGCAGAAGCACCCTGATAAAGAGCTGGAGCAGCTGGTAGAGATGGCTAACTATTATGCCCTGTTGCATCAGCAGAAGAGCCGTGCGTTCTACCGCATCCAGGCAACCCGCATGATGACCGGGGCAGGAAACATCCTCAAGAAGCACGTCACAGAGTTCTCCAAGAAGTCCACTAACCTGCTGGAGGTGTCCTCAGAAGCAGCAGTGGAAGAGAACTACAGCAAAATCTTTTTTGAGCCGTTCATGTACCACTGCTTGGAGAATTGTGGCTCAATCACTTTGACTGTGACTTGCCAGCAGGGTGGTGACACCTACAACACTTTCTACGTGGACTACAAGACAGAGGATGGTTCAGCCAAAGCAGGCTCAGATTATGAGTACAGCGAGGGGACCCTGATCTTCAAGCCTGGCGAGACCCAAAAGGAGCTGAAAATTGGCATCATTGATGATGACATCTTTGAAGAAGATGAACATTTTTTTGTCCGGCTGCTGAACTTGCGGGTGGGAGATGCAGAAGGCATGTTTGAGTCAGACTCTGCCGAACACCCCAAGGGGAGACTTGTGGCCCCACTGGTGGCCACAGTGACTATTCTGGATGATGACCATGCTGGCATTTTTGCTTTCCAGGATAAACTGTTAAGGGTCAGTGAGTGCCAAGGGACTCTGGAGGTCAAGGTGACCAGGAGCTCAGGGGCCCGAGGGACTGTCATGGTCCCCTACCAGACGGTGGAGGGAACTGCTCAAGGAGGGGGTGTGGACTATGAGGACTCCTGCGGGGAGCTGGAGTTCAAGGATGATGAAACAGTGTAAGTAAACAAGAGGTTACCTTGTGGTCCGGTGCAAATTCATAATGACATTGAATGGAATAGAGAAACCAAGCAGGTTCTGGTTGAATGTTTGGAATAATATTCCCGACAATAAAAGCAGTTGGTCACTAGGGGAGAGATGGGGTCCCCTTGGTTGAATTTGTTCAGGTAAAGGCCTGATGTCCACCTGTGGAGGATATTTTAATCTGGAGAGCAGGGAGGTGAAATGAATGGTTCAAGGGCTCTTCTAACTCTTGGGCTGGGTAGTCAAGCCTAACGTGGTTAGTGCAATAACCACTTTTCTGGGTTTGCAGAATGCATTGCACCATAACCCAATCAAATTGGCTGCATTCGTGAAAGGAATAAGATAAAAACTAACCTGGTTTTAGCATGTTCTGCAAATACAGCTGCTCATTGTTTCATAGATGTCATTCAACATGTGCTTTGAATCCAGCCATTGAGTGTATGATTCTACGTTTTTGGGGAGGGAGGGGGGAAAACGATGATCTTTCCACCAGCTTTTTTTTTTATTATTATTTGCAAAGAGCCTGTACATTCTCATGGAATGCAAGCTGGGGTTTTGTAGAGAGGGACTGTCCATTTGAGCACGTGCCAGAACTGCATATGTGGGCTTCTATGTGTGTGTGTGTGCCTGTATAATGAATCATTTCAGGTTTGTGATTAATTACACATTGCATGCTTGAAATGGGAGGGAGCCACGTGGGGAAAGGGGATGGTTTGTGCAGGATGGATTGGGAGGGGCGAGCTCCCTGCATCTTCCGGCACGACCAACGTGTCTTAAAACTTATCGGAACGAACGTTCATTTGATAGTATGGAAAGTGAGTTAAACTCCTTCACGCTTAGGAGCATCAGGGCTTGATTTTTTCGTAATTTAATATTTCTCAACACTTGATGGTGCCCAGCAGTAGAGTAAGTGACATTCTAGAGGAAAAACATTGCATTTGAAAACGTTTGTGGATTTAAACAAGTTGCTACCTCGCATGATAGTGCAAGGGATCTGTGAAGTGTGGCGCTGTCCAGGTGTGCCAATATTTGCATGAGTTAATTATTTTGAGGGAGGTAAAGACACATTATTTCATGATAGACCCAAAGCCCGTGGCTAACCAGGATTTATAACATCTTACCGTTCTGTCCAGTAGCTGGTAGTGTTCCCTCCCTATTCTTAGGCAGAAGAGGCTCCTGTCTTGGGCCCAGATGCAGGAGAACCATTCCCCCCCCAGTACTCCTGAATCCCTCTTGCTTGGAGTATAGATCTGGGTTTGTTACACAGCCCATCCTGCGTCTTTTAAGCCAGTTTGCTGCCCTTGGTTGCGGTGGCCAAAACTGCCCATAATGCAGGAGGTCCAACCGACTTCAATCCACACCCTGGAGGAGGCTGCCTTGACCCACTGTCTCAGCTAGCAAAGCACTGTGGGCTGGCCTTGAAAACCATCCATGCTTAAATGTACTGTGATTTAGCCAACCTGATGATCACAAGCTGGTGACCACCATTCCTTGCCATGGCAGCCCTAATCCAAGACATCCGTAGGACACCTGGTTGTCACCTCTGATTTAAGCTTTCCTCAGCTGCCACCAATTTTTCATAAGTGGAAGTTAAAAGAGAAAGCTGGTGGTTTTAGGGCCAGGCAGATGGAGGGGGGTGAAAAGGGAGTGGAAGCAACAGATAGGAGAACTGGGGGAGCAGACTGGTGAAGGAAAATGTGGCTTGTTTGAGCTTTGCCTACTCTCTGCACTGATCACACCCCCTTCCCTTTGACTGCACCAGCAGCTTGACATATTTCAGTTGTGCTGGTCAATGACCGCCATCACAGGCATCCACTCAGCTTCCCTCTACCTAGCATCTTCCAGATGTTGGAAAGATCACAATATTCCAAGTCCCAAGCCAGTATGGTTTGGCATTCTGGGAATTGTGGTCTTAACATCTGGAAGGTGCCACTTGGCAGAAGGCTGATCTAACAGATTCTGGCCTCACCCAAGCCCTGTTCCACCTCCTGAATTGCTAGATTTTTTCTGGACGCCACCCTGGGGTGACTTTCTGCTTGCTTCCTGGCCTTATCTCCTCACTCATTCAGCCAGCATTTTGTTCCTTAAGAATTGTCAGCCAGGTTCTGCCAGCTGTGCCTTGATGTCCACATTTTCGCTGTCTTTGTTTTGTAAAAGAAGAGAGAGAGATTAAGCCAGCAGTAGACTGTCAAAGCATTCAAGAATCCAGGTGTTGTTGTTTTTTTAATGAAAATTACCCCTTTCCAGACCCAGCCTAAACTTTATCCCCAGCCACCAAACAATGTTTTTTTTTTTAAAAAAGGAAGTTTTATTAGAATAAGTAAGCAAGAGAGAATAAGGCTACAATTTTAATTCATTACACCGGGTAAGAAATTTCATTTGAAAAGCTTCCCTCCAAACTGGCGCTTTGTGAATTAAAGCAATAATTTTGGGTTGCTTTCTTTCCCCTTTTCCGGGCGTACATCCCAAAAAATTGGGGGTGGGTATGTTTGAAAGGCTGGGACTAGCGCCAAGCAAGCTGAATGGAAAAACGGAGACCCTTTCCCCCTTCCCAACCCATCACTTGCTTTCAGTGTGATATTTAAAACTGAAATAGCTGACCCCAGGCCATCAAGAAGGATGGTGATGATGCCAGGAGCAGAAATGGCGAGGAAGGGAGGGGGGAGGCACCAGAAAAGTAGATGAACTTTACAGACATGAACACCTCCAGATTTGCGGAACTCAAGTTGCAGAGTTTTGAGCAATGCCCACGAAGGTTGGGGAGTTCTGATTGAATTTGCCATTTTTAAAGGACGCCCAGATTTGGGAAAGTTGAATAGGTGATTTGCTTTGTGGACCCTGGTAAGCGTGCAGACATGCACACCTGCCCAGACACACATGAAGTTTATGAAATGGCAGATGGCGGAGCACCCAGGAATCCTCCTCCCCTCACAGGGTCTAGGGAGTCTCTGAACATCAACCTGGGCCTTTTGTTGGGCCAAACAAAATGATTCCAAATAATTAAATGTTGGAGTGATGGTGGCTGAGGAAGACACTCGGAGCATTCCACCCTCCCAGCCAAGTATTCTTTCGTGGTTTGATATCCTGGTTGGATAATGGATGGTGTTTGTTTCGGCTTGTGAAATATTTGTCCAAGAGGGACAGTGTTGGCCAATGAAATCAAACTCACTCGGGTGAAAAGCATTGGCGCGTAGACTAATGAAAGTCACTTCCGTGGTGGTCTCACCTGGATTTCTGTGTTGTGATCCAAATCGAATCAAATGAGCTAGCACCAACAACCCAAGCAGGAGTTTTTCTGTAGAAGCTGTTGACTCTTCAGAGTTTTAGAAGTCAGCTGAGCTGTGGCCGTAGAGCTGGGAACTGGATATTAACCTTGCAGAGTGATATTCTGGCTAGAAACTGGGCAAAATGTGTGGGGTCAGTGGGTGACCCAATTTATTCATTATAACAGAGAATGAAGTAGAAGGCTAATGGGGTAGAAGCCTTTTTCATTCTGGATTTCAAGGATGGGTATACTTTTTGAATTCTCATTAGAAACAACATTCCTTGCATGAAGAAAACTAGGGTGCCAGGGAGAGGACTTTGCGAATACTTTCTGACATGCAGGGAGCACTTTGCATGGAAGAGTTATAGAACAGTGTTTTTCATACTTGGTAACTTGAAGAGGTGTGGTCTTCAACCCCCAGAATTCCCCAGTCAGCATGCTTTAAGATGCATGGACTTCAACTCTCAGAAGTCTGGCTGGGGAATTCTGGGAGTTGAAGTCCACACCTCTTAAAGTTACCAAGTTTGAAAAACACTGGTGTAGAATATGGCAAGCTTTTAGCCCTCAAGTTTGCAGACAGATGCTGAAATGGTGAGGGGCTTGCAGAAATCCCACCACCCAAGAGAAGAGGGAAGGAGAGACCTTGGAATAAGGTTTGCCTTTTGCAGAATCAAAGAGAACCGTGCAGCAGAGTAAGGGCTACCAAAACAAACAAGCAGAAAATCTCCTTTGGCAAAAGACCCACAAGGGCCTGGGTCTTGGAAAGAGCTGAGTCCCAGTTCCCACTCCCTGAATGACTTTGGGCCAATCCATTTCTCTTAGCATAGCCTATCTTACAAGGTGGTGGTCCCATAGATTCTGGACGGGGAGAACTGGGCAGATTGCCTTAATGACACCTATCATAAAACTTTGCACACGTTTTTAAATATTTCTCAGGTAAAGGAGCATAGAATGAAGATGGCACGGATTCTAATGCAGAATCTTGCTTATTTATTGATTCGTTTTAGAACAGGGGGCACCCAGCTCTATCAGGAAGACGCTGTGTTGAAGCATGTCCAGAGTACTTTGACCCTGAGTAATCCATCTCCAGACAGCCCTGATGGAAACTCAGCACCTTCCTTGGAGAAATGAGCTCCTGAAGGTAGCTTGAGGCTTGTTTTGGGTGCTTCTGGAAACATCCCATCTCTGGGGTTTGTCTTGCCTCCTCTCAGTCCACCAGCCTGAAAAGAGGCATTGATTGCTATTGATTTGTCACTCTTGGTGATGCCCTATGCTTCAGCGCATCTGCTCCTGCCTTCAACAGCTTTGCTGATAAATGGGGAAAACTGATGAGTAATTCTCTTCTCTTCTCTTCTCTTCTCTTCTCTTCTCTTCTCTTCTCTTCTCTTCTCTTCTCTTCTC